TTTGTTTCATATTTTTTCTTATCATCTTTGTCATTTATCTAATTCTATATTCTTTATTGAAATTATTGATATAAAATGAAGTGAATATAAATGTTATTATGACCATAATTGTGGAAACATTATTGAAATATTATTACTAGGATCGTAATGGTTCATACCACTCTTATCTTAAATAATCATTAATATATATATATATATATATATATATATATATATATATATATATATATATATATATATATATATGAACTGCTCATAAAGTGCTGTTATTATTGAAACAGTGCTCGATGTTATAAAGTGTATATATTAATAAATATACTTAATAAATACACCGTTTGCCCTACTCGAACTTACATACCAAACGCAATCTTCAGGTGCTAAGTGTGTACTGGCCATTACTTATTTATAAGAAAATATATCAGTTTAAACTAATTCTGGCGCAGTTAAGCACTATCTATACTGGGAGATAGTTTTTTTCAAAAAAAAATTTTAATACTATTTATATTTCTCATGACATTAAATCTATCAACTAAAATAACCGGTATTACTATATGAACATAAAAGATAAATATTTATTATAAATTACTAATTTTATTTTATCTTATTTTACTTTAGAGTAGTAGATTATCAATTATTAATAATTTATATAATGAAAGGAAGCTAACTTAATGTAATTTGATATAAAATTATTACGAAAATATTAATTATAAATAAATATAAATAAATATAATGAATACAAATAAATCATATTAACTTATAAAACTTTTAATAACCCAAAAAATATATAAAAGAATATATATATATATATATATATATATATATATATATATATATATATATAATAAAAAAATTAATATCTTAAAACCAAGAACCCATAATACGTAATAAATAATAAATAAATAAATTTATAAGCAAATATTACATAAATAATTAATAGTTGATAACCCACTACTCTAAATATAAAATAAACTTAAATTAATCCTTAATAAATATTTATCTTTTGTGTACATATGGCAATACCGGTTATCATATTTGCTAGATTTAATGAGAAATATAAATATTTTTTAAAACAGCTTTTGAAAAAATTATATCCCAATATAGATAAGGCGTAACTACGTCAGCATTACAGTAAACTGATATATTTTCTAATTATATATAAATAATGGTCAGTACACACTCAGCATCTGATGATTGCGTTTGGTATGAAACTCTTAGTCAGGCTAACAGTGTTGGATATTACGTATATTTATTAATATATATATATATATATATATATATATATATATATATATATATATATATATATATATATATATATCATACATACATACCTTGCGTCCTAGTGGCTTCTCGCCTTGTTTGGGTGAAACTTAAAAATATATATATATATATATATATATATATATATATATATATATATATATATAACATAACATATATATAACATTTCGTTGATTCATGTCTATTTTATTAAATATTTACATATATATATTTTATGCTTTTAAACAAAATTACTTGTTTTTCAGTATCGCTAAGTAAAGGTGAACATTATTGTATTTAATTGTAAAGTGGATCTGCTGATAAATGCATATGTGTGTATATCTCTATGTCGATGTTTATTTTGATGTGTTAATATTGAAATTTACAGTTGTTAGATACTTTTGAAATCAATGTTAATTTATATAATTTGCAATAAATTTCTCCAAAATGCGCGTCGGTTTACATAAGCTAATCTTACATTTTTGCACACTTATTTTAAATGTGTAAATGAACTTTAGAAATATGTACGTGATGTCTACAGTAACTAATTACCAACATTTATAAACTAAATTTGTTGAAGTGATATTCAAATATAAGACATCTTGAATATAATTTATCAAATCATTAGCCGACTTAAAAGTGATTAATATAACGGCTTTAAACAAAAATTGAAAATTGGTTTTAAAATGAATATATTCTAAAACAAAAAAAAAACAAACACATTTATCTACGTCAAAATAGATGTTAATGCCAGGCAACCCAAATTTGATGGCTTATTATATTATTACTTTTCGTTTGGGGGCGGAAAACTTCTCGTTTGGCCTTTACTTTTCATAAGAATCAAAGTTTGTACTTCCACCATCTTCGTTGTTTTTTCCCACTTCGTCGTATTACACTGACTGTGGTTTAAGTTTCGTAAATTCTTAATTAGTACGTAAGCTTTTTTTTTTTACTGACTTTTTTTACTTGTATTTTGGAAAATATAGAGTAGTATAAAATCTTTTCTAAGATTATAGAAAAATATATTTCCAATTAAGAATTTAATGTGCTTAATGTGATTTGCATTATATCGCTACTATAAACATTGATATGCTTTAAGTTGATTCTTATTATTCAATTTAAACTGAACTCTTATTTTGATAGAACTAAAAAGAAGAATGTAACGTTAATGAGCAAGTGTAATTTAATCCTACAGTTTCTTGATAGTTTTAAGGACATGGCTAAAGGGTGAACAAGGTGGATGGCGAGATGAAAGGAAAAGGCTTGACCTGGTATGAAAATCAACAAAAGAAATTCTGTTGTTTTGTTACATTTGAATCCCGAAATCTGATAGCAAATATTGTATCCACGGGTAAAGCCTCTAAAGCAGATATTTACTATTTATGCTTAAGTCGGTCTCAAGACTAAAATTTTAGATTGATTCACAACAGTAGTAATGGGTGAGACTGATATTCTTATAGTTTTTCTTTCTCTGAAATGCCACTAATCGTTGCCCTTTTATTCCACTATACTTTTGTCTTTCATATTCAATTAAAATGATCTCTACCAGTTCATTTAATACAACGTTTCACCATTCATAATTATCGACTGTTTTAGGCTGTGTATATCTGGGCAAGATGTTTGGAATTTTTTCTTTTAATTCATACATATATGACAATTATTTCAAACCAACTAGAAACTGCAGAATATGTTTTGTCCATCGGGGATATAAAAGACATCAAACTGTAAAAAATCAGCATTACAAATAAGAAATGATGATGATATTCGACATTTTTCTTTATTTAGATACATTTACGTGTCCGTTTATTCGTGCCAGGTGCAAGGCTTGAAATTATGGAATGAACTTTGTTTAAAATTTCGAACTCAATCCTTCAACGAAATATTTCAATGGATGTAATTTCGGGAAAATATTTGTGATTCTAATGATCAAAATGATGAACAAATAAAAACCTTTGGTCAATATGAGTTATTGTTAATTTCAATACTTAAATGTCATGACAATATATATGCTAATCTCTTGCCATTATTGTCATTTCTGTTTCAAATTCTTTAGTAAATTGAAATATAAATTTCAAACATGAAGAGTAACATGTCAATTTTTCTGCATTTTATTCCATTGCTCTTTCTCAGTTGTGAGTTATTAAATCTGCCCTTTTTATTGTATATTATTGTGCTTAACCTTATATATTATATATTATATTCTCTTGATATTATAAAGTCTTCGAATATGAGAACGAATGCTACCAAATAAGCGAAAATTTCGCTATGACAAAATCATAGTTTGGATAACAAAGAATATAACTGAATAGGTAAGGAATTCTACATTTGTCATTAATGCCATCTTTTCATTGTATTCCAGAAAATAAAGAAATGTTTAATCTTAATCGAATGAGATACAAAACTTATTTATAAATACATTTCTAAACTCAAAATTGGGATTACAAATAAACTTTTGTACCAAGTTTTATGAAACAAGCTTCAAGAAAAAAAATAACATTTAACGTCCACAATGTCGTGTACAATCTTTCAGCGTAAACTTTAAATAGCCACATAAAATACAAAAATAAAGGCAAATTAATTAGCTACCTCCAGAATTGTGAAGGCATAATATTTCATTATTTCCCTATAATTCTAATATTACTTTGTTTATTAAATAATTCGTTCTGAAAAGCTACGTGATTTCTCAAACTCAAATCACTGGAAACAGTTTAGTAATGACATTAATTGTTACACAGATCGAAACCAACAAATGCAAACATGATGATGAGTTATCATTATTTACATTATTTATATTGAAACTAATGTCTTCATTTTTGTTGTTATTATCACAATGTTTCGGCCATTACACCCTCTTTGCGATAATAACACCAATAATAACACCAAAGATGAGGACATTAAAGCGAATATAAATAATACAGACATTCATGTTTGCATAAAATTCGTATTGTATAAAGAGCGTTGACTTATGGATGAAGCGGTTAACAATGAAAATAACAGCATTTCAAATAATCCTATATCGTTTGAACTTATAAGAATATACATCTAGAATTATACATTGATTCTAATTATTAAAGAATAAATTTCACTTTCAAAATGAACATTTAAGAATTATCAAACGAAGCAAAATTCTTGATGAAGACCACTTTTGTCAAAATCAGAACATTTTTCACCTTTTTTAATATTTAACTTGAATATAAATTCCATACATGATTAGGCAATCACTCCAACTGAGAGAAGTAGATGATTCAATTGACAGCACAATCTGAAAATCCACTGGTGACTTGGGAATTGTGTCAACTTAAGCCTAGTCGTTTGTTATGCAAGATCGTTAAAATTTAATAAAGGAATGACAGGTCGAAATTAACAAAGCCCGCAAGTCGTTTTGAAGTTAAAGAGTGGCATGTTTAGAACCGAAGACAAATGATGTCGCTCTCTTATTCCTACAACAAAACAAAACCAATCTATTTTAACTAGCTAATGATCTGTCTTCCTTGAGCAATGCTACACTCAGTTTAGTAAATGAATATAAAGTCTTGTTTATTGATTTCTTTTTCATTTGCTATTACTGTTTGTTTCCTCTGGCTTTCACATACATACACGAAATAACACACAGTGGTGTCGTTGTTTTGGTAAATGTCTTCTGTTTTGGCTTTTTTTCTCAACCCTGCCAATTTGAACACGAACTACAAACTATTATTGAACATTTTAAGCAGAAGTTGTTCCTCGGCACGGAATAAACTTGGCTATAAACACATTCCTATGCATGATTGTTTAAATATAACTGCATGCATATCTATTTTTAGTATACAAGGTTTTACAAAATTATATAAAATTAGGGATGGTATGCATTCATATATTTGGACATAAAGCTGTTTTTCTCGTGTATTCCCAGTAAAAAAAACTGCGTGAGTGAAAATATATCTCACCAACCGACAATTCAATTTCTTCCTCACTGATTTTCTTACTGAGTTAAGAATTCCTACCAATCAAACGACAGTAGTTAATTTGTAAGCGTCCAAGTTTATAGACATCGACAGATATCATAACTCATTCTTTCTGAACATGTTTAGTTTTATGTATGTTTATAAATTTACATAGATTTATATTTGATCGAATTTTCTATGTATTTTTATTTAGTTAAATCCAAGAGAATTCTGTAACTTTTTACCTGGAATCAAACAAGGATTTCCGATTTTTAAAAACTAATGACAGATACAAATTATCAATGTATCTGTGCATTTTTTTAGTCTTTCACAGTAAAATGCAGCATTATATCTTTTTACAAGTTTGCATACCTCCGATGTGTCAGTGTGCCAGTGACTACTAATAGATGACGGATGGCTGGAAGCGAATGATTTGATTAAGAGACAGCTATATCTGAGAAGTTCGTTAACTTATTATTTAACTAATGAGTGAAATAAAATTACTAACATTTAAATTTTGCTCGAAATCATTCCAGTGTCTGGGCAAGTTGGAAACAATTTTGGGAATTAATTTCCTCAATGGCCCAAACTCTACAATATCCGTCCTTTCAGAGGAAACAAAAAATTTCTACAACGAATACTGACAAAGAAAGAAAGAAAGAAAGAAAGAATGAATGAATTTAATAGATATCAAAATAACAGTTGACAAGCAGAATGTAGAGAAAATATTTCTGAACTTTTTTAGCTATTTAACGCAATAAAAATTAACTAACAGGTGCATCTGTGTATAATGTGTAATTTTTAGAATAATCTATTTTAATGCTCCAAACAGATAATTCAATAAGTTACAACTATAGATATATTAAGGTCTACACCTTGGTGCATACGGAACGGATCCTAAAATATCATGAAATTTTGTTGTTCAAATTTTGGAAAATGACCACTCATGATTAGCGGTTAAATTCACTAAAATAATTTTAACCAGTTTAAATGATCAATCAGTGAAGAAGGTTAGCTCCTGAATGAAGGACAAATTAAATGACGACCCAATATTTTACTTCTAATTTTTTTCTTTGTTGTTTCTATTTGTATTAAATCATAAAAGTTTCCATTTAAAAGAAAAATAATTAGAAAAATGCCATGTCTTTGAAAGAAAATTCAAATATTTCGTTAGTTAAATGAATGTAGAATTTGGTATAAACTTATGAAATTCAAAACAACAAACTTTGAGCCAAAACAAAATGAAATTGATTTATTTTTATACGGAACTCAAAGAGAAAACTGATTCTGCATTTTCACCAATGTCATCGTCTGGATGGTTCCGACTTATTCTAAAATCGAATTCTTCCAGATGGTACCCCAGGCTTTTCGAGACCATTCCAATCGGTACGTTAACGGCTGGAATGACCACCTCCTCCATGTTTTACAATGATTGTTTCTAGTTTATTAAGTCCAGTCTTTTAGCATGGATAGGGTAAGCCTTTTGAATCCTTAAATCTTATGAGGATTTTATGCGATTCATTTTCAAGGGCACATTCTTGTCTCTTCGTAAACCACTGGTTTGTGTTGTCATTTGCACAATTCTCAGTGATCGTCTTCATTATCAAGTTGGTCATATTGTATTTTTTCGGCAATGTGAAAACATTCACTGATTTTGTTTATTCTCACTCCTTTATTTCTACACTGTCTACATTTTCTCTTTTTTTCTTGAATCTTATCTATTTCAGTTTTTATATGATTTTTGTTACTGTTTTGAGCTGCTATTATGAGCGACTTTGTTTCATTTATGAGATTTCCTCCACGCAGCCATGTTTATGCTGATTGATCTGCTGTCATCTGCTTGTTCAGAAAATTATTTTTGTTCCAATTTAATAATTAGTGTTTTTTTTTTTTTTTTTTTGTTGCAGTGCAGGTTTTTTTTTTTTGATAAATTTTAATTGTCTTTCCGAATTCTGTCTTGTGTAATATTCGATCTTTTTTGTTTTGTCGCCATCGTTTCTTAGTGATGGTAACGAACGTTTTCTTTCGGTCATGGTTTTTGTTTTATTTTATCAATTTCATTTCTTTCTTTTTGTTCTAGATTTTCTATACTTCTGTGAACACTTGCTTTGCACAATTTTCCATTTCTTCTTTCTGATTTACTGTAGATAGATCTTGTTGAAATCTTTCTTCTTTGCCTAACTTTCAGCATATTTCCATGTTTCGGAGAACCAATATTTCTTCAATCGTTGTTTCACTTAGTCTGCAAAGTTTTGGTTTGTTGTAATTCTTATGATACTGTTTTGAACCGCTACTAAGAGCAATTCCGTTTCACATACGAGATCCATTCACGTAGCCATGTTTATGTTGATTTATATGCTCTTCATTTGTCATTAAAGTGTCCAGAGAATTCTTTTTGTTCCCATTTGAAATTTAATAATTTCCTGTGTTTCTATTTATTATTCTTTTATTCTAAAATTCAAAAGAACAAGTCTTTGAGGCAAAAAGCAAAATTGATGGTTTTTTATCCAGAACTCCAAGACATGGAATGACCGAAAAATGCTTCCGTATTTTCGACAATATCGTCGTCTGACTCTGTCTGACTCTCCCAGAGAGTTTCACAGGAAAGTTCGTAGTTATGTCCCTTATCTGTTTCTTGTAGTCTCTTTGTGTTGTGTTGTTTTTAAAAGACGTATTACAGAACTCTCTCTCTCTCTCTCTCTCTCTCTCTATCTATCTATCTATCTATCTATCTATCTATCTATCTATCTCTAGTTATACCCCCTGAGGGTAGTGGTAATGAAAATGCCTGTCTATTACTATAAATTACTCTGTTTACAGTCATAGGATAATGGACGGAAAACTTGTCTTTGCTATCAAGGGAACACCTGTCGATCATGACAATCAGAACTGTAATTTGAGCCACACATTCTGAATGCTCGCATTTTTTTTTTTTAAGTAATGAATATTTGGTAATGTGAATGTTCTTCATCCGACTATGGTCTTCTTCCGACCAAAAAAAGAGAAGAAAGAAAAACTTTTTTGACATTTTCAGAGGGACAAAACATTTTTATCGCTTATATTTATTTTGACAGTTTTTTTCTAAACAAGATAAAAATATATGAAATATTTGTGTAAATGTTTAGTTCGCTGTTTCGACACAGATATAAGTTTAATACCTGTTTACATAAGCAGATACACACACATATTGTCAGTGTGCAAATGATTTATATACGTACATGTATGCGTATACACGTATGGAAGAGCATGTATGTATATACGTGGGATTAGTTGTGTTGTTCGTTCTCGAACATTTATAAAATTATCTCTTGCATTCAATTGCTTTTTATCCTCATAATGCGTACGTGTGTGTTTCAGCGTCTGTGTTATCCGTGTGTATAAGATCAATGTTTATCCGATTCAGATAGAAAGAAAGTATTCTCTGATGTTTTTATATATCTGTATATCACTTGCATATTTGTCAGTTGAGGAAAAATTCGTTTTTTTCTGACATGGGAGTAAATGTGTGCATGTTTATAAACGCACATACATATACACAAACATATATATTTTTATTCAGCGATACCATACTGCAAAACACACAGATATATATATATAATATGTGCTTTCACAAAGATGAATATATATATATATATATATATATATATATATATATATACATAATAATGCTGGTGTTAATAATATAGTGCTTAATGTAATAAAACAGAGCTGTTAAGTATATATTAATAAATATATATATATATATATATATATATATATATATATATATATATATTATCGCTCAATGGTAGCATTACTAGGAGTTTCATGTACAATGTAATCCCCAGGGTTCTACTCATACAGACTGACCGTTACGTAATTTAAATTTTAATAAAATTATCTGCTTATTATTCCAAAATTATAAAATAATATCTTGAAATGGTAAAGAGTAAATTTATTCAATAAAATCGCCATTACCTTCAACAATGCTTCTATACGACTTCGGAATCTCCTGCAACTCTTCTGGGCGGTCTCTTTAAGTTGGTGAATGCTGCCATAATCCTTGTCTGCCGTTCATCCTTGGTGTTACAAGAAGTTTTGTTGGTCTTTCACTCAACTGTGCCCCACACATAATAATCAAGGTAGTTGCAGTCTGGGGAGTTAGGTGGCCATATGTAAAGGCTGATGTGGTCGCAGAAATTGTCTTACAGCCATGACTGTGTTCTCCTTCTTGTGTGATATGGCGCAGAGTCATGTTGCCAGATATAGGGTCTTCCAGCAGTCAACCTCTTGAACCAGGGCAGCACTACCTCCTCAAGGGACTTGATGTAGGTCTCCGTGTTGTGCGAAGATGAATGGAGGCATAACGTCGCCATCACTAGTGATCACTCTAAACACCATCGTCATTACCATTAGACTCATCCAACTCTTTTCGAATCCTCTGTACTGTCTTCACATTCACACCCAAACAGTCTGAAATGTTCGTATTGCAGCTTTCAGGGCGAATGCCAAGCAGTACAGTATGTCATTTCCAAATTTTTGACGGAGTTCATTGCGTCATGGTGCTGTTTTTTTTTTCAGATGATACCCAACTGACACTACTATTCTGTGCAATTGACAAAATCAAAAAAAACAACACGCAATATAAAAATATAAAATGGCGCCAATTCACCCATCACACCCTGTAATTATATATATATATATATATATATATATATATATATATATATATATATATATATATATATATATATATATATATATATATATATATATATATATATCAGGTCATCCCATAAGTTCTGTCCGAATTTTGAATAAAGAAAACAAGTGACCAAATGTTACATTTAATTACAGATTCAATCAACAATGTATTTTCCCTGATTATCTATGACATCCTTCCATCTATTAACAAGCTTACTAATTCCATTACTGTAAAATTATTTTGGCTTTGATTTGAAGAATTCACAAATGTCAGTTTTAACCTCTTCCTGTGTTACAAAAGCTGTTTCTTCCAAATGATTCTGTAAGCTACGAAACAAATGGTAGTCTGAAGGAGCAAGATCGGGAGAATAAGGTGAATGAGGAATTTTCTCCCAACCAAGTTCTTCGATCTTTTGTGACGTGATTCTTGCTGTGTGGGGTCGCACATTGTCCTGATGAAACATCACCTCTTTTCGATTCACTAGAGCAGGTCTTTTTTTCCTCAAAGCTTGGTTTCAAACGCTCTAATTGCTGACAGTATATTTGAGCATTAATTGTTGCATTAGGTGGTAAGAATTCAAAGTGGATTATTCCTTGGCGATCCCACCAGATTGAAAGAAGAACCTTTTGCCCATGAAGTTCCCTTCTCGGCTATGGCTGGGGTCCTTCCCCTTTACAAAGCCACTGTCTACGACGCTTAACATTTCGATAAAAGATCCATTTTTCGTCGCCAGTCACAAGTCTATCCAAAAAAGGTGAAACAAGTTGGCGAGAATGGAGAGAAGAGCAGATGTCAACTCGGAATTTGAGGTTGTTTTCAGACAATTCATGAGGCACCCATTTTCCAAGTTTAGGAACTTTTCCAAGTTGTTGAAGATGACGATGAACAGTTGTATGGTTTGAACTGAGAACCACTGCCAATTCCTCAACTGATAAAGCAGGATTTTCTTCAAGGGCTGCTTCAAGAAGCTTTTCATCAAACTCAACTGGACGTCCGGTTCGATCTTCATCTTCAAGAGTGAAATCTCCACCTCTGAATTTTGCAAACCATCTTCTGCAAGTTCTTTCATTCACTCATTCCTCTCCATAAACTGAGTGAATGTTTCTAGCCGCTTTCTTGAACTCATAAAGCATTATGTGCCTTCTTGGGTACTTCCATGTTAGCCTGGTTTTTAATCAAATAAAATTTAATTTTATTGTTCTCTGAAATAAAATTTGATCAGTTTAAATGCATCTAAACATAAAAATAATGTTCTGCTCCATGAGACATTATAAAATCCTCTTTAAATTTCGTTCATTTTAACAAAAAGTTAAAATTCGGACAGAACTTATGGGCTGACCTGATATATATATATATATATATATATATATATATATATATATATATATATTCATAAAACCTGTTTTAAAGCTATAAAAATGTATATTTTGGAACAATTTTCAAATATGTAGAATTGAAATATTGTTACTAATGTACTTTATCTCCTTACCAATAGGATACCTGAATGTACAAATTAGTAAACACGGTAATAAAATGATTTGTGTAATCGTACTACAGACAAAATAATAGTCTGACTTTTTTTTTACAATATTATATCTAAATAGAAGCCAATAATCGCGCCTCTGCTCGAATGAATGATTGTTTTTAGCCTAATCTGTATATTTGTCGGTGCGTTTGCAAACATGTATTTATGAATCTATGGATGTGATTTTAAATATTTGTATCCGAACTTTGAACATTTTCAATCTGACCATTTTCTTTAGAAAAATGTTTGGCTTTTCCAGCTGCGTCTCTTGTTTGTCCGAATATCTTTTTTATGCGCGTCTCTTTTGCACATTTTATTTTTTTTTAATTTTTGCTCGCTTGTAAATAAGCGATAGAATATTATTTATTTCATTTGTGTGAAAAGGTTTGTAGAATATTGCATATAAAATATGGATGAAATATAAACAAGTTTCGTTTTGTTTTCTCAGAATACTACAGTTATGGTTGTACCAATCTCTATCAATCACTCTTTTTCTCTGTCTCTCCCTCTCTCTATCTCTTTTTCTGACAAAATTTCTATCTCTCGCTCTTCAGGTTATATGCCGCTGTCTCCATTCTAAATCTGTGTTTGCGTATGTGTGTGTGCATTTTCTTTATTTCAAAGTCTTTTAATTTTATTACAATTAGAAAATTGCAACGAAAAGAGAAACGAGTAGAAAAAACGAAAGTTGCTTTCTATTAACAATAAATATATGATCATTTCTTTCTCTCTTCAATCTCTCCCCTTTTCTTTTCCTTTCTTTCTTTCTCTCTCGCTCATCCCCCTCCTCTTTCTCTCTCTTTCTGTTTCTTTCGGTTTCTCTCTCTCTCTCGCTCTCTCTCTCTCACTCTCTCTCGCTCTCTCTCTCACTCTCTCTCGCTCTCTCTCTCACTTTATTTCACTTTTCTGCATTGAAAATTTCTGACAATATATCTTTACTGAGAAAACAATTTGTATGCGCACGGGTACTCTAAGAAAATAACACTTTTATCATTGTTTGGTTTCAACGACAATGCTGATATCTATTTTAATTCTACCCAGGTGATCTATTAGATATGAAATTGACAATTATAAGAATAAATATATATTTTCATACATAGATAATATAGTACATTTAATCTAATAAAGTTAGACAAAAAAAAAACAAGTGTGGGGTTGAACTACAAGAGATTATTGAAAGAGGATCAGCTGTTAGACATTTCTTTCCCAAGAAGTCCCACCTACAGCGGAATGCCCGATATTATTCACTTTATGTGTCTGTAAGATAACATTAATTTTCAACAGCTAAAACCACTCAAAAGCAAGTTCCTTTTCTACTGTACATCTCTCCTATTTCCAAGTTAGAAACATTGAGAGAATTAATAGACTAAGTTTGTTCAGTGCCAACCATGAAAAGCTTAGCTGTCACTATGAACATTATCGACAATGGACCCTTCATTCAGTATATGGAAAGGATCGAACTTACGCGCAAATACTGGGATTTACCAGTTGAATGGTGTGCTAGAATTCTAAAATCTATAGCGGCAGTTCGATTGCTAAGCAATT